TTTTCAGTGGGATAAACAAAATCAAGAACTATCCTCAGAGTATTCTTGGGTTTTTCAAGTTAAATCTAAAACCACTAAACTAATGTCTTAGCTCTGACTCAGCTTAGAGGTTCATAACGTACATACAGTGTCAATGATCACATACTTCCATACTTTGAATATGTGCTTTGACTCTGTAAATGTTGTCATGCTATAAAAACACAGCTACAATAACTATTATCAGAGAGAGAGAGAGATGCCTCTTTAATGACACAAGTTTGAATTTATTTTGGATTTTCTCTAATACACACAGGGTCAAAAGTATACATAAAGGCTCAAATACATACACTCACTTAAACCTTTTAATAAGTGGGGCTAAAGCTTCTTCTAAGTTGACAAGGCCTAACCTAACTTCTCTTTAGTAATCATGATTGACTATAGCTGGTAGTTTTTCTTTCTGAACTCATCGGATTGATCATTGTTCAAAGCAGTGGGAAAGTCCAAGAATACTAGAGTTGCACAATTTTACCTAAGTACAAGTTATTCTAATATGTCGCCCCTTTGCCAGCGTCTGGAACAAAGACCCAAACTGTCACCAGTGCAGTCCATAAGATAATTGATTAGGATGTTCAAGAACAAACCCAGAAGCCACCAAGACTCAAGCCTGCCATGAATTGAAAGTGCTGGAACACCAGGGTGCTGGCAGAGAAAGAAGCTTCAGCTCAATGACTGACATGTTCAAGCTTGAAATTTTCTGCAAGCCAAATGCCTTCTGGAGAAAAAGGTTTTATGGTGAAACAAGACAAAGCTGTCCGAAGACTTCATGAGACAGCCTATAATGTAAACTACATAAGTGGTCAACGTCATTGTTGGAATTTATGCTGTGGTGGTACAATATGTGCGGTTGTGGCAAATGCGCTCCTGTGAAGTCCTCAAAAATCCTAATTGTGCATCTTTGGAAGATAAATTCTGTTCTAGAAATGCAATTACATCAAGTCAGTACAGTCCACAATACTGTGACTGGTCTGATTGTTCCCGGCAGTTTTTGAAATATGTACAAATATATTCCCCCCCCCCCAGAAATGACCGGGACCCAGGAGAAAAAAAGTCCCAGCATTTTATTTTCTATCAGCTAGCACTGCATACAAAATAAGCTGAGTGAGCTAAAGCTTGATTTTGACTTCCGCGGGAAATCTACATCCTAACTTACGACGTAACCAGAAACCACTCTTAGAATAGAATTAGAATAGAATTCAACTTTATTGTCATTGCACATGCACAGGTACAGGGCAACGAAATGCAGTTTGCATCCATCCAGAAGTGCTTTAGTGATATAGATATATTACAATATATATTAGCAATAATATAGATATATTACAACATATATTAGCAATAATATAGATATGTAAGTATATTACAGAAATGGGTCTATTATGGTATATTATAATGTACACGGTATTAAGTATGTTGTGAATATTCTATAACTATAAGTATGTACAGGCTGTAGTGAGTACAAGCTATGTACAGGCTATGAACAGGATATAAATATGAAATAAAAAAAACTATACAGAAATCTGAGAATCTTAACCCTACACAACAACTTATGACGTAACGTTTCCGGTTACGTCATAAGTTACAACGTAAATTTCCCAAAGCATAATTAAGCCGTTACTCCTTAAGTTGCAATGTAGGGTTTCAGAGGAGTTTGCACCTATGATGTAGCTACGGCAGATTTCCCACTGAAGTAACAGTAAAGGTGAGGCTTGTAAACCTAAGAATTCTATTTTTGTTGTTGTTTTTCTGACTGGTGCCAATATTTTTTTTTTTACAGCTGAAATTTTGTTAACCTATTTAAAATTATATTCTTACAATACTGTACTGAGTTATGATGATAGTATGGCTGAGAATACCTTCATGATTTCCTAAATATATCCTTTATATATCCTAAGGGACTCACTGTGGTGCTAAATAGTAAGCTAACAGCGACCTTAGTGTGTTTTATCTCTTCATTTATTACTGTAATGTTACAGCAGGGACATGTGCTGCATCTGAGGTCCTTCAGTATCACTACAGTTTCTTTTTTTTCTTCCATCATCACAGAATAAACTGAAGCCATCCTGGTTTCCCATGGCAGTTCAGCGTGTTACAGTGAATCCAGGCCCATTGGGGACTCCTTTCTCATTCGCCTCTTTCCGATGAACAAGCATTAATAACGCGTCCTTTTCTCTTTTCATAGCCATAATCTCCAGTGATCTCAGG